AGCTGTCTTATAAGAATCCCTTAGATAATGTATAGACTTTGATATAAAAAAGCAATTTAACAACGATATCTAAAAATAGGAGTTAAATACTATGGGAGTTGAAAATAGTTTGAATTAGTTCCACTGTTGATTACTATCAAACTTTCAGTGCTAGTTAACTTTTTAAAACCATGTGCCACATACCAAAACAAAAAAGCAGATGGTAGCTTTGAAAGCAGAAGCATTGAATATAAAATCTCTTTCAAGAAACTTGGCTGGGAAGGGAAGGAGAAAGAAATTAGTGTCTAAAAGTAAGTGGGATGTATCGCCAAATCTACTTTTCAGTCTCTTACCACTTGGATCTTTTAACTTTTTTTCTCTTGCTTTTTAAATCTATCTTCATGTTTTATTTATTTGTTTAGGAATTTATACTTATGCTTATGAACTTATTGCTATATTATGTAATTCTCTGATGGAAATTTTAAGGAATTTCTCACTGCTTTGATTAGTTATATCATAAAAGTTAAAAATATAATTTCCTAACATGCTCAGAGAGAATGAATTGAATATTCATATACTCATTATCCAAAATCCACATTTGATTCATTTGTTTTTTTAACCCATTTGAAGTATTTTATTTTTATTTTTATTTTGGTACCAAGGATTGAACTCAGGGACACTGAGCCATATCCACAGCCCTATTTTGTATTTTATTTATAGACAGGGTCTCACTGAGTTGTTTAGCACCTCACTGTTGCTGAGGCTGGCTTTGAACTCCCCATCCTCCTGTCTCAGCCTCCTGAGCCGCTGGAATTCAGGTGTGCACCACCTCACCTGCCCATTTGAAGTATTTTGAAGCAAATCTCAGATCCCAAGTAACTGCCTTCCTGTATTCTAATATTCATTTGTAAAAAATAAAAACAAAGGGCTGGGGATGTACCATAGTAGTAGGGTGCCTGTGTAGCATGTGGGGGGCCCAGAGTTCCATCTCTAGTACCACCAAAAACAAACAAAACAAACAAAAAACTCAGATTTAATTTTTAAGATTTTTAAATTTTAATTTGTTATATATGTATGACAGCAGAATGCATTGCAATTCATATTACACATATAGAGCATAATTTTCATATCTCTGGGTTGTACACAAAGTAGAATCACACCATTTGTGTCTTCATACATGTACTGAGGGTAATGATGTCCATCTCATTCCACTGTCTTACCTACCCCCTTGCCTCCTCCATTCTCCTCTCTCCCCTTTTCCCCTTTGCCCTATCTAGAATTCATCTAATCTCTCCCCCCCACCCCCATTGTGAATCAGCATCCTTAAATCAGAGAAAACATTTGGCATTTGGTTTTTTGGGATTGGCTAAATTGACTTAGCATTATATAATCCATTCATTTACTTGCAAATGCCATGATTTTATTTTCTTTTAATGCTGAATAATATTCCATTCTGTATGTATACCACATTTTCTTTATCCATTCCTTCTTCTGAAGGGCGTCTAGGTTGGTTTCACAATTTAGCTATTGTAAATTTTATTGGTGTAAACATTGATGTATAAATTGAATTGTATTGCTATAAACATTGATGTTGATGCATCACTGTAAGTCTTGTTCAATTTCTTTCTTTTGTGTTCTGTAGTTTTCCTTGTATAGAGGTCTTTCACCTCTTTTGTTAAATTGATTCCCAAGTATTTTATTTTTTTGAGGCTGTTGTGAATGCGGTGTTTTTCCTAATTTCTCTTTGAGAGGATTCATCAGTGATGTATAAAAATGTGTTTGATTTATGGATATTGATTTTACATCCTGCTACTTTGCTGAATTCATTTATTAAATCGAAGTTTTCTGGTGAAAGTTTTTTGGATCCTATAAGTATAGAATCATGTCCTGGGCAAATAATGATAGTTTGAGTTTTTGTTTTTCTGTTCATATTCATATCCCTTTAATTTCTTTTGTCTAATTGCTCTGGCCACAGTTTCAGGAATCATATTAAATAGAATCGCTGAAAGAGGACATCCCTGTCTTGTTCCAGTTTTTAGAGGGAATGCTTCCAATTTTTTTTTTTTCCATTTATAATGATACTGGCTTTGGGTTTAACATATAGCTTTTACAGTGTTGAGATATGTTGCTACTATCCCTAGTTTTTCTAGTGTTTTGAACATGAAAGGGTGCTTATTTTGTCAAATCTTTTTTCTGCATCTGTTGAAATAAGAGTAACATCAGATGGCTTGGGATGTAGCTCAGTAGTAGGGTACCCGCCTAGCATGTGGGAGGCCCAGAGTTAAAAAGAAAAAAGAAAGAAACAAACAACAACAACAAAACTTAGATGTTTTCTTACAAAATCACAGTGCTGTTGTGTCACACTGAATAAAATTAGCAATAATTTGTAGGCATCCTTTAGTAGGCAGTCCATAATCAAATCTCCCCAGTTACCTCAAAAATATTTTGACACTTACTTGTTTGAATTAGAAAACAAACTAAATCTATACATTTCATTGGTTGTTAATGTTTCTTAAGTTTCTTTAAAGTCATATTCTAGCTTATGCCATTAACTGTTGGTGATTCATTTGCATAGCCAGATCTACATTCTGGATTTGTATGTTTTTTGTTGTGATTCTTTGTGGTGTTTCCTTAATCTGTATATTTGCCCCATATCCCCAAAGATCTAGAAGCTTGATTCAATTCCAGGTCATGGATGGTACAGTGTATTTCATATTTGTATCATGTGAAGCAGTGTGACATGTTTGTTTAGTGAGTTCAGGAGGTGACGTTTCCTATCATAAAGTTCCCTATCAGTCTTTTGCCTAAAGGCAATTAAAGATTAAAGATTTTTGCCTGAACAGTTGTTTCATTGGAAACAAAATGTTTTCATTGTAAAATATTGATTTTTCTGCTTCTGTTATTTCTTCCACATTTGTCGGTTGGTATTCTTTGTTAGAGAACTCTTCTTATAAATTAGGGCTACATGGATATTATGAAGTATAGTTCATAGAAAATGCAGGATACTTTTTTATTTTAAAAAAGTTAGAGGAGTACTGGAGATTGAACCCAGGACCTCGCATAAGCTAGGGCAAGCACTCTTCTACTGAGCTACATCCCAGCCCCTTTCAACATTTAAAAAAAATTTTCTAAGACAGGATCTCACTAAGTTGTTGAGGCTGGCCTCAGATTTGGGATCTTCCTGCAACAGCAGGCTGAGTAGGCTGGGTTAAAAGTATGCCATCAGGCCTGGTGAGGATAAATTCTTAATTGATTTTAATTGCCATTTTTCATAGTAAGTGATACCTGTATTAATATTAAGAAAAAAAAAAAAAAAACCCCAAAACAAATTTAAAGGTATTCTCGTTTTTGGAGTCTGTAAAAAGTTAAGTTTAAATTCTGTTTTTAACAAATATACATGTTATTTTAAAAAATATGTGGTAAGATAAAACAGAGAACAAATTTAGAATACATTATTTACCTGGTATTTAAATGTTGTTAATATTTAAACTAAGGCTAGGCACAGTGGGTGTACCTGTAGTTCCCACCTACTCAGAGGCTGAGGAGGGAGGATTATTTGAGCCCTGTAGTTTCAGACCCATCTGGGCAACATAGTGAGACCCCATCTCAAAAATTTTTTAAATTAAGTATTAGAGGTGATTAGGAGCAAAATTCACTGACTAGTAGTATGAATTTTAGGGATTAAAGTTTAAAAATATAACTAGCCTTACAAAAGCAAATATATATAGGATAGCGCTAATTTGAGAGAACAATGTTGAATGGCATTTTGAGAATAAAGGCTTTTTACTTCTTTAGGTATGAAAAGAATTTTCTCAGAAGCAATGATAGTTAATATTTATTGACTATGTTGATATAAGTTTTGTTTTTCCTCCTCCCCTTTTTTTTTGTGATGCTAGGGATTAAACCTAGGGCCTGGTGCATGGATTTAAACTTTCTTTAGAGAAATATTTTGGAAATAATTGTTTTCAAATATTGTTGTAATATTGAGTTTATCTTAATTATCACTGCTTTATGATTTCATCATGAATTTTTTTACAATCGTGTTAAAAATCTTAGTATATAGTTAGCTATGTTTAAGAGCTTTCTTTGTGTGGAGCACTGTTCTAAGTGCTTTCATGGATATTAACTCATTAATCTTTGAATCAGTGCTGCAAAGTAGAGTCTGATATACAGATTTTACATATGAGGAGATGGCATACATAGAGGTCAAGTGGCTTGTCTGAGGTTACTCAGTTTGTAGGTAGCAGAGCTGGCATTCAGACTCAAATGGTCTGGATCTGCATCTCATCCTCTAAACTATTACTGCCTGAAACATTTGATGAACATGTAATTTTTGTAAGGTAGATGAAGACATTAATGTTGATAACTGTGGCTTCTAGTGTTTAACTATTAAGGACCTACTATTTGCTGTGAAGATATAGAAAACATATGGAAATTTCTTGTATTTGAGGAGCCTAGACTGTCATTTATGATAAGCATTTCAAAATGTTAAATAGTTCTCAGTCTTTATAACAATAGTTAAAATATTTTTCTATATGATGCATGAAGAAGTTACAGAATAGCATGTGTGAATTGATATGGCATTGTAATAAAAGCAACATGCTTTTCAATACAGTTTGGTTGATTGAAGTGGGGTCTTGCTATGTTGCCCAGGCTAGCTTTGAACCCTTGGGCTCAAGTGATCCTCCTGCTTGAGCTTCCTGAATAGCTGGGACTATAGGTGTGTATCATTGTACTCATTTTTTTTGAGTCAGGGTATCAAAAAATCTGCCTAATACATTGTCAGACCCAAAGATTCTTTTATATCAAGAAGTAGGTGTTTTTCTTTTTTCCTCCCGGGTGCTGGATATTGAACCCAGCATCTTACACTTGCAAAGTACCTGCTCTACCACTGAGCTATGCCTGCAACCCCTAGTGTTTTGTTTTTCTTTTTATTTATTCGTTATATTCAGGTTATCTTGCATTCCATTTTATAAAACATGTAATTGTTTTTTCCCCCCATGTTTTTCTTTTTCTGACAGCTCTTCACAGATGGAATCACAAATAAACTTATTGGCTGTTACGTGGGTAATACCATGGAAGACGTAGTCCTGGTGAGAATTTATGGCAATAAAACTGAGTTGTTAGTTGATCGAGATGAAGAAGTGAAGAGTTTTCGAGTGTTGCAGGCTCATGGCTGTGCACCACAACTCTATTGTACCTTCAACAATGGACTATGCTATGAATTTATACAGGGAGAAGCATTGGATCCAAAGCATGTCTGCAATCCAGCCATTTTCAGGTACATATCTTTTTCTAAATTTTTCCTTTGAAAAGGAATGTTAAAAGCACTTAAGAAAATATTTTTTAAAACTACTTTTCTTTCTTTGAGCTATTATTTGGTTTACTTGGAAACTTTCTTTAGAGCTATTTTTGTTTGTGTCTTTTCTTAAGAATTCTCATTTTTGACTACACAAAAGGACTACAAGAGATTTTTGATTAATTGATGTAGGGTCAGGGCTTTCCCTTAGTTTTTTAAAGAAATGTTTGAAATTGAAGGGTTGCAAATTTCTTATTTTAAGCTACTTATTACTTAATTGCTCATGTTTTCATAGTTCTTAATAAATGTCTATTGTTATCCCCTTTTTGCTATTAAGTTGTTCATTATTGAACTCAGTATCTTAGATTTGCTATAAAGAAAATGTATGTATTTGATATATATATATATTTGATGATTTTTCTAAAATCATCTTTAAAAATTCACTTGATGCTCTTAAACTCTAGAAAATGGGTTTGATTTTAAAGTAGCAGGTTCATAGTTCTCATTTTTTTCTTAGCAATTTTTTATAACTCTGAAAAGTTACTGAGTATACAACAGCTTTTATTTTAATGTTTTATTTATATTTATCAGTATTTACTATATTCAAATACTTAAAATTTTTAGAACACAAGAATGTCTGGTGGACATCCTGTTAAACATCAGTATAATGACATTATCATATGTCAGGTAGCTTCCCAAACAATACTGTATACTTTGAAAGAATGAGAGTGAGGATGGTAAGTGTCTTATGAAAGAAAGTTATTAACATCCTGAAAGATCTGGGGTATCAGGGGCATGCTTTAAGATGTGCTGAATTAACACACTGATAAAAATTGAATGGATCAGTATCATTTGTTTATTGGGTAACCCATATCAGCTAATAAAATAATTTGTCATAGAAAGTTATTCAAATCCTAGGTATTAGCCATCAGGTATATTCTCTTTTAGATGTGTTGAAGGATTCTGATTAATAAATTTGTGCTTGTTCTTATTTTCCTTTTATTTTGAGATGGGGTCTCCCTAAGTTGCCCAGGTTGGCTTCATACTTGAGATTCTCCTCCCTTAGTCTCCTGGGTAGCTGGGATTACAGGTGTGTGCCTGTTTTTTTTTTTTTTTTTTTTTTTGAGATGGGATCTAGCTATGTTGCATAGGCTTGTTTCAAATTTCCTGCTTGAACTCAAGGGCTCCTCTTACCTCAACCTCTGGAATGATAGGACTAGCAGATGCACATCCCCATGTCTGACTGACTCATCTTTTTGTGTCAAATTTTTTGGGTCTTGAGGCTTACATACGTTTATTATTTATAAATCTTTAGTCTTGTTCACTGTGATTGAGAAATACCTGTATAACAGTGTTAAAAGTCTAAAGATACATTGGACCAACGAAAAGCTGGGATTAGGTTCAGAAACAAAAATACTCATTGTGTAAGGTTGCTAGATAAGAGCCACATGAGCTTCCTTTGCATTTAAGCAGAGACACAAATGTTTTCAGGGTCATTGTCCATACCCCCACTCCTTAATCCCATATTCACTGAAAAATAAGTCCCTGCTTGTCCACAGCCCAGAAGCTGCATGCCCACAAGTTTCAGTTCCCATATGAATTTTTATCATGAGAGAGGGCAGCAAAGACATCAATAACGAAAGGTTCTTGGTATTCTTGGTAGTCTTGGCATTCTCTTTTGGTATATGCAAGATACTGACAACATTAATATCCAGCAGTGCCTTGGATATAAAGCCACCAGAACTACAGGAAGGCCATAGAATACTATTTCAGTTCCCCATGGTACTCCCTCCCTCCTTTGGTTCTTCCTCAGAGCTCTTATAAGGAAGGTGTATAATAGTTCTTTGACTATTACATGGTCTCCCAGGACTCCTACAGAGGTTATTCACATTATAAAAGGTATGGGCAGCATCCACATGACAATAGGATCCAGATATACACAAGAGAAGACTCAGAGGAGGAGATGGAAACCAAGTCTAATGGAGAATAGTACTGAACTTGAGCAATATGGAACTTATCAAAAAGGTCTGCTACCTTGCAGAAAAGGAAGATGCATAGAGAAAAAATGATTGCTGCTAAACATGAGATGCCTGGACAACTACACGAACCTTGACCAATGCCTATATGACACCCATCAGTCAGTGGACACCCAGCAAGCGCTAGGCCAAGGTGAAATAAATGGTTGTATAGGAACAGCATTGCTGAAACTCAGGCTGTGAAGACTGTGGTGCACCTGCATTTGACACACACTGTGACAAAAAACACACCAATTAATGTCCAGTTGTTTCCCTGAAGTTTTGACCATGGCACTAGAATCTCTGAGAATACTATCTGAACAGGACTACTTTTTTTTTGGATATTCTCCATTTCAGGGGCCTGTCAAGGGTGTGGAGTGATATGTCAGCTGGAAGTTGGCAGACAACTGTTACCAATACTAGAAATTTTCTCTTGAACATAAAATTATAATTTTGTATGTATATTACTCTTTTTTTTTTTTTTTTGTACCAGATATTGAACCAAGGGGTCCTTAACCACTGAACTACATCTCCAGCCCTTTTTATTTTGAGACAGGGTCTTGCTAAGTTACCTAGGGACTTGCTAAGTTGCTGAGGCTGGCTTTGAACTTATGATCCTCCTGCCTCACCCTTCTAAGCTGCTGGGATTACACACTATATTGATTTTTGATGTTGTCAATTTTCTTGCTTACAGACAGTGGAAAAAAAAGTGTTCAAAAGATGAAAAAAAAAAAAAAGGTGCTTAAGTCCAATACCATTTTACTGGTAGTCTTTGCTGCCTTTGTAAGCCTTACACTTCTTTTTTTTTATACATTGGTACTCCTGATTTGTCTTTAATATATCACATTTAAACTTTCAGTTTAAACTGGTGGATACCATCTGCCAGTGAGATCAAATTTAGAATTTTACTCCTTTTACTCCTCAGTCTCATGGTGGAAACTGGATATGTGGAACAGATTTTTTTCCTCTTTTATTGATGATAGTGGAAATTTGTGGAATGAGATGAAATGTTGAAATTCGACATTAGGCTGCTTACCTCTTTCATTAAGTGTACATTTTAGCCTGTGTGGTGGCGCATGCCTGTAATCCCAGCAGTTTGGGAGGCTGAGGCGGAAGGATTGCAAGTTCAAAGCTAATCTCAGCAACAGCGAGGTACTCAGCAACTCAGTGAGACCCTGTCTCTAAATAAAAAATACAAAATAGAGCTGGGGATGTGGTTCAGTGGTTGAGTGCCCCTGAGTTCAACCCCTGGTATGCCCCTCCACCAAAAAAAAATACATTATAGAGCCAGATTACCTCAACTTTGTGAGCTGAATGAATTTGGGCACAGTATTAAGCTTTGTGTGCCTTAATTTCCTTATCTAAAAAATTGGAATAATAATGTTGTTGTAAGGATTGAATTTATTAGTACAGAAGTGTAGGTTGGGTGTCCTTTATCCAGAATATCTGGGACCAGAAGTATTTCTCCAAATTTTGAAACATTTGCGTTTATATAAAGAGACACCTTGGGGATGGAACTTAAATGAATTTTGTGTTATATCATATTTAGACTTATGTTTCATATACAGCTTATACACATACCCTGTAGGTAATTTTATACATTATTTTTAGAATGTCCTTGACTTGACAGACTGACCCCCATCATGTTAGATCATGGTAGAATTTAGAATTTTCTACTTGTGGCGTCATGTTGGTCTTCAGTGTCAAATTTGGAATGGTGTTTTGGATTTTGGAAATTCTGATGAGGGGTACTCCACTTGTCTGTTTAAAAAGTTTAAAATATCATTTGGTATATGTTAAGTACTAGGTGTTAACTTTTGTAATATTCCCCCATGTCTTCTCAAATTTTTCTAAACTTCTGAAGATCTTCTAACAATTTAGATAGTAACTTAAAAATTATTAATATTACTTAGGCAAATTATCATGGCTAGGCCTTGTTCTTTGGCTTTATTATGCTTTTGGAAGCACTGTAGTTATTTATTTTTAGTACTGGGGATTTCACTCAGAGACATTTTAAAGTTGAAATTTAGCCAGATGCAGTGGCATGCTCTGTAATTCTAGCTACTCAGGAGACTGAGACAGAAGGATTGCTTGAGTCTAGAAGTTTGAGGTAAGCCTGGACAACATTAGCAAGACTTGCTTTCTTTCTCAGTGCTGGGGATTGAATTCAGGGCCTCACACATGCCAGGCTAGTGCTCTGCCACTTAACCACATACCCTCTAGACCCTATTTCTGAAATAACTAACTAAATAATTCATTCATAGCCATTTTTTTCCTTTTTGGTATTATTTACTTTCACATATAAAGTTCTGAAGTGCTAAAAGCAGCATACACATGTGGCAAAGCAAGTATTTATTGCTACTAACTCCCTCTCCCTTGTTTAAGACAGATAATACTAACTAGTATTGGAACTGTTTCCTCTTTAGCCAGGATTAGACCTCAGAATCCTTCCCAACTGTGTTAGCCAGGTTTCCATTGCTGTGCCAAAATATCTGAAAAAAAAAAAAAAAAAAAATCAAAAGTAGCAAAGATTTCTTGTGGCTTATAGTTTTGGAGGTTTCAGTATGTGGTCAATTGACTTCTTGGTTTTTTTAGCCTGTGGGCAGAACGCCATGGCAAGGGAGCATGTGATGGAGCAAAGAGAAGCAAACTAAACGTGTAGACTTTTATTTTTTTGTCATTTCCTGATGACTCAGAAGCAGAGAGAGAAAGGAAGGGAGCTAGGGTCCCCAAAGTCCCCTTCAGGCATCTCCCCAATGACCCAACTTCCTTCTGTTAGGCCCCACCTCCTAAAGTTTCCACCACCTCCAACAGCTCCATCAGCTGGGGCCAAGCTTCAGCATGTGACTTTGTGGGGAACATCTAAACCATAACACAAACTAAGCAATTTTACTACTACTTGCTCTCCTTGAGAAATTTGTTTTGCCTTTTTAGTAGGAGAAAGACCACACAAAATTTACTATGTGC